GGTCCGCACCCCAACTGGGGTTTCTATCAATCAGATGTGCCCCCTCCTGGGGCTTCCTTCATGTGCGCCCTCCCTTGGGCTTCTCTCACATACACGCCCGCTCCTGTGGCTTCCCTCCGCTTTTGCCGGGCTCTTTCTAATCACTGACTCACCCTCGCCGGGCTCGTCTCCCTAGCAACACCCACCCAGGGCTTCCGCTCGTGTGGCCCCCTCTCTCTCATGGCCAGACACGAGCTGCCCTCAGGCTTCTTACTGGTGAGCCATCAGTGGGGCTCAGGTGGCCTAAGCCGTGCCTGGCCCCCTGCCCCTTTGCCGGAGTCCTCTCCCCTGCTCGGGTCTCACAACTATCACCCATCCAGGGATGCGGTCAATCCCCCCCATCTGCTGCGCCGCCGCGGCGCCATACAACTGTGCCATGCCTGGCACGACTGCCACGCCCACACAGGGCACTAGGAACCCCCAAAATTCTGGGGAGCTCCTGTGAGGCCTCCTCGCACCCCTACAGCCTCACCCGGTCCTCCGGTTTTAACCATATCAAACAAGGAACACAAAACTAAGAGCCAACCGGCTGCAACACAACCATAAGCCTTCTGGCTATAACATAAAGTCCAGGCCCCACATGGCTTTCCCGTAAAACCTCCTAGTCAGGGTTCTCTCCACCCACGTCATGGTGCAGCTACTCATTCTATCAGCCTGCTCATCTCTGCTAGGCTCCACTGCAGAGCTCTTGCTCCTCTGGCTGCCAAAAGGGAACTGCCAGCCAGGCTCTGGCCTGGGCTGTTTATAAGGGCCCAGCCCTGCCCCCTTCTGGTCACCTGAACAACATGGTTGCCCCAGCAACCAGCAGCTGAGCTGCCCTAGTGATTGGCAGCTGTTCTTAACCCTTTTCTAAGCACAAGGCACCTACGTGACCTTGTGACACCACCCCAGAATTTTTTTTTAATCGCCGTATTTTTAAAAGAAAATTAATGCCCTGATGCTACTGAGTCCAAAACATATTGTTTTATTGAAATAAAAGCATATTAATTTTTCCCAGCCTTTTTTTTTTTCACCCTTGCTAGGTAATTGTAATTATCAAGAAGTACTGATGCTAAATTCTGCATCCTTTGCTGATTTGTCTAGATTACCCTTTTTGTACCTGTTTGAATGCAAGCTCATTGAATGCCAATTAATCAGTAATATGATTGTAAATACTAATTTAGGCACTGTAAACATCGATTCCAGGATACAAATGTTCAAGTATAGAGTACAGAGTAGCCTTTACAGTGTTAACTTTTGATGATTGACATTTATTCACTTCTGTAAAACAATACAAAATTATTGTTTTTTAGTCATGAATCACAAAACTATAAAGATTAGTCTCATACTTTTCCAGAGTTCATTCTTGCATGATACTTCTGAAGGAACTGGTATAACTGGTATAAATCAGTGTGAGTACATGTATGTTTTTGAGAACTGAAGTTATTAAAATAAAAAAGGAAAAATATTCCGTGCTCAGTACTTTAAATCCCAGGTAATAAAGGAGGACTAAAACCTAATTCTACATTTTCAAAGCCCTCACAAATTTTTCAGGAAGAAAAGGTTCCCATGGTTATTTCCTAGCGTCTTGCTAAGGCCCCATGATTTGTTGGGGGCTAAGTGCATATTTCCACATCCCAAAAAATATAATTCAGAATAAGTGCCTTCAGCCTCTGCTTTAAGCTTGGCATTTCAAGATGAATTGTTGCTCTTTGTACTAGGTCTGCCTGACTCAGAAGCCGGGGGGGCTGATTCTGTCCTTAACTCTGGTATTATTCAGGCATTACTCCTTTGATGATGATGGAGTTACTTTGATATAATACCAGTGTCAGTGAGGTAGAAATCTGTGAAAAACTCAGTGAAAAGGTTAAAGAAAAATGGAAAAATCTGTTCCAGAATCTGTAATGTTACGTCATCTAGAGGTAGACTGGGGAAAAGGAAAGTAAGTAGCTAACATTAAGAGTAGGTTCCATGTCACTGTAAACTAGCCAAACTCATGGCCTGACGTATGCAGGTTGAATCTATGAATCATAAAATGTACTATTTTTAATCCTTTGAAAGTATTTTGCAAGTGGAGAAAGGACAGGGAAGTGTGGCAAAGTGGGGTCCCTGGCTAGCCTCAGGGCTAGTTTCCTAAACTGCCTCTGGACACGCCACCCACCTGACTCACCCACCACACCTTGATGGAATATAATTAGGTTGTTAATTAAGGTGGGAGGCTGCCCATTTTACACCCCAATATTGCGGGGGCTGTCTGTAGCTCCATTCCACCCCTTCACTGTGGCCCCCAATCATGGGACCTTTGGCTTCTGTAAGTCCTGGCCCTGTCTCAGGCCAGTCAGGACCCTGAGCTTCTTCGCTCATCATGGGTATTCCTCATGGTGGGCCCTTGGCCCTTTTGACCCTTCCGGTCCTGGCCGCAGCATAGACCAGTTGAGTGCCTCGGTTGGGTTTTCACATCCTGCCTGCACTTAGGGATTGCGGTCCCCCATTCCCAGCTCAGGTGCTCCTGGAAGTGTGCCTGACCCTGCAGGGTCACTCCCCCAGCAGGCTCAGGCACGTCCAGAAGCTTACCTGGCCTACCCTGCTCTGATGTTGTATGGCCCACCCAAAGGTGAGGGGTGGGGTTAAGTTTCCCCTACTCACCTTTCACCAGGGTGGTAACTGGCTTGGCATTTCCTGGGGGCTCCCACACCACTGAGAGCCCCACCAGGCCACCCACTCCTGGCAGGGTGCAGTTTTAGGTCATGCCCAGGATGAGGAGTCTCCAAACCATCCCCTACAGCTCATGCCCTTACCTCCAGGCTGTTACAAGCAGCCTTGCAGCCAGGCAGTGTTACTGCCTGGCCTGTCAGCAGCAAACTACCCTGTTTATATAGGCAGCCATGGATCTAAAATGGCTGTCGCAATTAAGCACCTGCTGGCTGCTTGGCTCGGCCCTTAAAGTGGCAGGCACCAACAGTGCCCTGCCAAAGGAAGTAATTATATTTTTGTGTAATATATCTCCTGTGCCTTACCTTTATTCTTTCCAATGATGTATGGAATGATTCCGACATTCATCTAATTTGTTTTGCCTTTTAATTTAGCCATCTTATTTACCACAAAATAAGCAAGTTGGAATAAACCAAGTAGTGACTGAATTCACCCTTCTGTAACACAGATATAACCCAGTTTGTGTCATTTCAGCCAAATGTACTCTGGTATATATCAATATAGATCCACTGAGGGCCATAATTAACAGAACCTAATATGATTCTATCCTTTTGACAGAAACAGTTTTAACAGTACCTTTTTGTCACTAATGGCATGACTCTGGTCAGATTCTACTGTCTGATTTTTTTTAAAGGATCCATTGCCTTGTAGGTGATATGAAAATACTTTGTGTCTTTTTAAGTAAATGTATGTATATGCAGAGAGAGAGAGAGAGAGATGTTTATGTGTATGTGTGTATACATACTCATCAACTTTTAAATAACTTTTGTAACCTTTTCATATAGTGATTCCTATAAAATCTATACTCTTGTTTCATTCCAGAGATCCCTGAAGATCCACAAATTGCAGAAGCATATTATAATGATGAGTTTGATTCTTGCTCAGAATCAAGTGAAGAAGAGGAGAAATACAATGAAGAGGACGAGGATGCTAAAATATCTCAGTCTGTTTCCAGAACAAATCAACAGGTAGATTGTGTTCCTGTGTGACAATAGCATATGCCTGCGTGCTATTTTTTATACTTGTTTGTAAAGCAACAATCAGCATAATACACTGAGTGCCTGATCTTGAGAAGTACTGATCAATTACAGTTCCCACTCATTTTACTGAGATTGTCAGTGCTAGAAACCTGTCAAAGTTAGGTCACATGTATGTGCATTTATAAACCATCCAAATAGAGAGAGTATTCTGTACCTCTTTAGGATTAAGAACAAAAGTACTTTAGGGACCAAGACGTAATTGAGTATTGTCACATTTGGAAATGGATCTTAGCCTCATAAATCATTAGGAGCTTTTGAAAATGTGTTGTGTACCTTCAGTCTGTGTCTTGTGTGCCTCTGATCTATATACAGTCTGTTTCTAATTTATCATGTTAATCAGTTTGGTTTTTATTGTAAACTCCTTGGCTAGGGACAAACATTCAAAAAACTTGAGCCTAAATTAATTGAATCTTTTCAGGTTAATCTAACTTGGCTAGGCTAAACCAGTTTGTAACCATGCAGACATCCCCTCTGGACTCAAAAAATGAAGGCACATGCAAGCAGTGGCCCAGGCTAGAAGCCGGGGGGTACTAAAGCAGACTTCCCTCCCTTCCTCAGTGCTGAGCTAAGAGGGCGTGGCCAGGCCCCAGCAGCACTGGGGAGGGGTCATCTGTTCCCCTGCCGCCCCTCCCCGCCCCAGCAGCCCAGTAGGTAATGTTTATCACCCCTAACTCAGTGTTATCAGCCCATTAAGAAAACAAAGCCTCTCTCCATTATTTCAAGCTCTTTAACAGCTTTTCCAAGGAAGGACATTAAGCTACCTGTTGATTAGCTCCAAAAAGCCTGTCTGCCTTTGTCTTCTCACACAGCATGGACTGTAGCCAGCATGTGGTCTACTAGCTAATGCTAAGAGGTGTCTGTGTAAAGCAGAGGGGTGGGAGGGAATAATTCCTGCTTAGCAGGAAGAAACCAGGCAGATGCCTGCAGTCTCTGCCAGAGCTCCAGCAAGGAAACAGAGGGATGGGGCCAGCTGCGCTGTGGAACAGAGAGCCCTGCCCAGCTCAGAGAGCATGCCAAGATGCTGGGGGAGTCTGATTTATCTTAATCCAGCAAGGGGTCTGGGACAGACATTGCATAAACTGGTTTGAGCCAAATCAGGTGAGTCTGATACTACATTCAACCAGGTTTATCTCAAACTGGTTTCAGTCATTTTCAAACTTGTTTATGTACACTAAGTGTCTGTTCTGTTACAGGTTTAAACCCATTTCTGATCACTTAAACCGGTTTATGTGTAATGTCTGTCCCTAGCCCTTAAGAAAGGACTGTGACTTCTTTTACTTCTTTAGGGAACAACATGTATCAATGTTGCTCATCAAATTTAAGTAACTTGTAACTATCTGAGGTAGTAATTGTCCCAATTTTTGTTTGTTTGTTTGTTAAGGCACAATTAAATGGTGGTTTTGTGCAAGGAAGTATAATTGTATAAGGAAGTATAATTGTGCTTGGGAATGAGGCAGTTCTTCTATCCATTACACTTTGACTTTAAAAGCTTACTCAAACCAATTTCATTTTTAATCTGGAAATATCTAGTTAATCAAAATAAATCAAGTAGCCATTCAGATTAAACACAAAAGAGGCTGATAGGACTTCAATAACATTTTGCTTCAAAGGAAGCTAAGGAAAAAATAAGGTAATATTAGAAGATAGCTTAGGCAATGTTTAGGACTATAAAAATAGCATTTGGACAGGTAGATGCTTTTTTAAAAAAATGAAACTCCTTGCTGCATTGTCTTTATTACAGCTGTATGAAAATTTAGAAGCAGTTTATTGTTTCTATTAAAAGTGCAGTGATCCTATAAAATGATAATCAGTCAAACAAAAATCAGTTGCATAGTTCATGGAATGGTTTTGATGCAATTATAGACCCTGCAGTCTACACCTCCTGTATAGACTGAACAAAACACTGATACAGTTTCTTAAAAAACCCACCATAATATACTCTTGAAATACATTATTACTCACTTTCATTATCCCTTATTGTATTTCGTCTCTCTGGTAGGCCTTTTTAAGTGTTCATTTAACTTGCATCCAGATTGTCATAGAGTTATATCATTAAGTGTCAATCAATAATGTTTTTGAACATGTAGACAGCAACTTAGAATTAGCAAGGTGGCTGATACAAATAGAATTCTTAATAATGCAGAGTAAATTAGGTATTGGCAGTCAGGTTTAGGCAGAATAACATTTAGTCGCTTGTTTTAGTGAATTCCAGTTTGGTGACAACAATAACTAGTGTTGGAGGTGGGAGGAATATTTCATTGATGTCTCTTTTCAGAATTTGATCCTTCACCTATGTATGTCTTTATGTATGCACATTGTGAGGAAAACAAATCCTTTCAACTTTACAGGAAGATTCATAGGTATAATGATTAGAGTGCAAATACTTTTTTAGAAATGCCTCTATCAAAGAAGTGACTAGCTTTCTTTAGTTTTCCCTTGTTATAGTACCTTTATTGAGGCAGAGGCTGCTCCTTTTTTGTGAATATTAATACAAATCTTTCATCTTCCAGAAAAAGTTACCCCCTCTCTGCCTACCCCCCACACACCCAAAAAAGGAACCATCAAACACAATATTTAATTTTCTTAAGTGAGGAGCTCCATATTGGGCCTGAGCTCTCTGATGTCTCTTATCAACTTTTTAGGGGTTTAGCCCACATCTAATTAAACTAACAACTTTCACATTTTTTGGTAGAATTTGCCCTGCTAATAACCTGCAGGGACTTCTTCTGCTCTATTGATTCAATGGGAACACTCCCATCAACTGCAGTGACAGTAGAATTGAACCCTGAATGTAGTTTAAAGTTCATTATGTATTATTAGTACTCTTGATTTCTTCAATGTAGCTGGTAAAAAATACAGTCACAAATGAAGCCCTTGGAGCTATGCATTAGAAAGATGGCATTATGATGAATCATAGAAAATTAGAGTTGAAAGGCACCTCAGGAGGTCATCTCATCCAACCCCACACTCAAAGCAGGACCATCCCCAGCTAGATCATTCCAGCCAGAGTTTTGTCAAGCCAGGCCTTAAAATACTCCAAGGATGGAGATTCTCTAGGTAACCCATTCCAGTGCTTCACCACCCTCCTAGTGAGAGAGATTTTCCTAATATCCAACCTAAACTTCCCTTGCTGCAACTTGAGATCATTGCTCCATGTTCTGTCATCTGCCACCACTGAGAACAGTCTAGCTCGTGAGCAGGGATCCTGGTTTTCTCTGATAAAAAAAAAAACAAAAACTCCCCAATATTTTGATTAAAGCAGTAACCCAAAATGCACATTTTTCGTGATTTGAAATGAAACACCACTAATAAATATATATAGTAAATATAAATATATTTATATTTAATATATGTATATTAGTGGTGTTTCATTTTGATGATGGAAAAATATAGATTTTGGGTTACTGTTCTTAATCTGAAAATTGGGGATTTTTTTATCAGAGCAGACCAGGATCCCTGCTCATGAGACACTGAAGCAACTTCACTCTCTTCATAGTCTCAACAAGACCCCAAATTCTTCATTTCCCTGACCTTTATATCTTTGCAAAGTGAATGCAACAATGCCTTGCTTGTGATTTAGCTGCATTTTATAACCTCTTTTGTACACAGGAATTACCCCAACTAAATGCAGGCTTAAAATCTGCTGTTAGGTTGATGTTCACAGTGGGATTAGAATATGACCCTTACTGCAATGTAAAATTTTTCATGCACCTAATTATACTCTTCCTTATGTGCATGAAGAGGCTCCAAGATGACCATTTCCCTCTTATGTGGGAAAGTCTGAATTCATCTTAGAACTGCACAGGCTACCATGGCACAGATTTGGGGACAGTGGTGTGGCAAGTGGCTCCCTAAGTACATGGTGGGCATGTACATGCCCCTTTTCACCTAAAGGAGTGGAGCAGGGTCTACAGAACAGGAGTGCATATTGGCTGCAAGGTGATGGTTCAATGGCTTGCCTCCACCTGAGTTTCTCTGCACAAAGCCACTTTGCTCAGGTTTTGGGTAGAAGGAAAGGTGAAGTTCACCTTTAATGAATGTAACAATTACTTTTCCAGACTCCTTACTCTGCCACTCTCCTTAAATATGCCTTTTTTCAACGAACTCTGGTTTTCTAATTTGATGGGATCTAAATAGAAAGAATAAGAGAGGAATGTGAAAACTTGCTTTAAAAACATCGGCAATTTTTTGATGTTCACTGAGGGTGTCATGTTGGCTTTGATGTAGTTGAGGTGATAATGGGCATGATCCATTTCAGCTAATCATCTTGATTTTTATGTTTTTCTTTTATGATAGTAAGCATAGAGGCCTTACCTTCTATGATTTTTAAAGAAAGAGTGTAGTAATTGAACACAATAGCTACCTATTTTAAAGTCTTCCGTTTTAGGTGTCTCCTGAGACTGTCAAACTGTCTCATCTACTGAAAAATCAGTACAGCTTCATTGGCTTCATCAGAGGCTATGGGTGCTGGCAGACTATATGCTGTCAATCACCCAAGAAATGGTCCACTAGATTCTGGAATGACTTATTGCTATTTGAACATGGTTCGTTACTTTTACATTTAAAAAGTCTTTGAATTCTTCCACACTTGCTTCTGTTCATAAAAGAATCCATGTTCATCTGTAAGAAACCCTTATTTTTCTTCATTCAGGGCTTTGCTTTCTGCAAAGAGGATGTACTTGTTATATTGAGAGCTGATTTGAGACAGCTATCTTGAGGAAAAATTAAACTGGAAACAAGATGCAGGTTGCTTTATTGCTCAGTATAGTTATTTGGTCCTAGGTATGACCGTAAACTGCATCCAACTGTAAGGCCTGCTGGCAATATGGTGGGGTTACTCGTAGTGGGATAAGCCCTACAAAATACCACAATGTTGCAACCTCCAGAGTAAGGTGAGTATGGGGTGCCTCAGAACCCTAGCCCCCACTGCCTTGGTTGGAGAAAGCCTAAGGGATATCACCCTGACAGAAACACAACCTCGCTGAGGTTTGAGGCAGTTAGAAGCAATTTTTATCTATTGCTCTGTGGCAGAAGCTACAGCCTTCAAGGCACTGAACATCTGGACTTGGATTAGCTTTTAAATTCTCTTACAATGGTCTAAAGTGGAACATGGGAGGTCTTGGGCAGCCTCCACTCCTCCATACTCTTGCCTAGGTATTTGCATCAAAGGTCTTGGTGTGATGGTTGCAGGAGTCGCTACAAGCAGGTTCATCAGGCACCTAACTAGACCTCTTATGCATACACCATAATTCAGAGGTGAGGGTTGCCTACTAAAAAAATAGCTATTTGAAGTCAATTGTATACTACTCAGTTGCATCACACCCCAACTAGCTGCATCTAGGTAAAACTTTCAGTGCCTTTTATTCAGTAAAATTTTTGTATCATTTTAAATATACTTGTTATCCGTTCAATTTTTATAACCTTTTAAAAATTTTTTGGAGACTGGAAATTTTGCCTCCCTGCTCCCATGTGGATGTATCTAGTTTGGTTCGAAGTATTAAGCTGTTACCATTTTAACTTTCACTCTGAAGAAATTATTTGAAAACTGGTCCTTGAACTCCCACTGAAAAGACAATTCAGTGACATGAGGGTTGGGAGTTTCCCTTCCTGATGTCTCTTTTATCACCATATGCCTGAATCCATCCTGAAGAGATAGTGTAGTGAAGTAGGAAACAGTGGACACCCTGTTCATTTCTAGACTTGAACATTTGAAGTGATCCCAGAATGTCAATAGAGGTAGTTAGTCATGTTAATTTGAAGTCAGGCAGAAGACAGGGCAGGCAGGGTGGCATTTTTACATATGTATGTGTTGCAGCTCCAGATGCTTTGAAATGCCTACAGTTGTATAAGTGGTGAAATGCACATCAGCACTGAGAAAATGACAGTGGCACACTTTTGAATTAAAACACCTCAGAGGTGCTTTAGTTCAAAAGTGCATCGCTGCCATTTTCTGTGCGCTAACACACATTTCACCACTTATAGAACTGTACATGGCATAGTGCAGGTCACCTCAGCTCACATGCAGAGCAGACTTGATTAATCGAGTCTGCTCTGAAGCGGTAGATCTCCAGTGCATCCTGGGGAAAAAAAGTATGTGTATGAATGCTAGTAGAGACCAGGAGATTGAGAGGCATGAGCTTTTGTTGGCAACAACCTACTTTTTCAAATGCTGACATGATGGTATCTGATAAAGTAGGTCGTTGCATATGAAAACTCATGCCTCTCAACCACTTGGTCTCTAAGGGTGCCTATACATGAGTGCGTAGGCTCCGTGACATGCTGGAATTCTAGTATGTTAGAGCAGACTCAGTTAGCTGAGCCTGGTGGAGCATGGCAATTACTGCACTCCAGCAGCCTCCTGCATCTCATGTATCAGCATCCCAGTGCTTTAAAATGGCAGCGGGGGCACTTGAACTAAACCTCATCGAACTTTGGTAGAGATTGCACACATGTTAACAAGCATGTATTCTATACTCAACCTGCGTGTGCGCTTTACATGTTTTCAATTCTGTTAGGCAAGTGACAGCAGCATATGTTGTATGGAGCATTGCCCAAAACTTGATGTTTTAGAAGAAAAAGGTAGAAAGTGGCATTGATCAGTGGATTCAGAGGTTTTGTTTTGTGTGTGTGTGTGTGTGTGTGTGTGTGTGTATAAAAAAATAAAATTTGAGGTTACAGCTTAGAAGTAGGACTACTCAGTATCATAAGTGCTACCCTTGTGTAGTGTTTGCAGGATCATAACTGTAGTGCAGGAAGTTTAACATTCATACTTGCTCTAATTCTAATGTTCTTTCTCGCTCTTGTACCAACAGGACAGTGATGTTGAGGCAATGGTCATGTATTTGGAAAATGTCCTGAATAACAGCTCTCTAGGTGAGATATAATGTCTCTTCCCCAATATTAATAGTAATATTTAGTAAAAGTATGTTGGAGTATTTATGGGTTCTACTCCGCTTACCCCCTTTTCAATACAACAATTTTAAAGTTACTTATAAAAGTGGGGTTTTTTTTCCTTGAAAATGGCTTCTGTAGTCATCTGTACAAAATTGTGGATGCCCTCAAACATTAAACTGCACATTGTTCTACTACCTGGTTATGAGATAGATATTAAATATTATGGGTAGAAATAACAGAAGTGACATTGTGAAAACTGTATACAATAAAGAGTTTTTGAAAAAAAAATAATATTTGTCTTTGGAAGAGGAATTGAAAAAACACAGTTGCTTCTTCCATTCCTTCTTTAAAGACACATATTCAAACCAATCATATATATAAAAGCAGATTGCTTTCTTTTAGGCCAGGAAGGAGTAACAATGAAAAGTTCAGTTGAATATAGAAAGATGATAGGCCTGAACAAGGCAGATTGAAATGTCTTTATTGCTGTAATTCTTTTAAAGTAGAGAAAAGGTTTTGGTGTGTGAGTAATAAAACCTTGCTTTAAAGTTTATTTTTAAAATGGTCCACCTTTGATTCTTCTAAAACTCAATAGTAAGTTGTTATCAGAGATGAGAGAAAGACCAAGCTAAAGAAAAATCATGCCATGTAAGTAATGAAATAGTGCGTAAATATATTCTGATTGAAGAAAGAAAGGAACAAAAATATGTTCGTGATATCTTACAAGTCACCGAATAATTTTATAGATGTCCTAGATTTTAGCATAAAAAATGAGCAAAAAACAATAAAAGTAAAATGCCTTTTTTAAACATAATGATTGATACAGTACTGGAAAGCAAATTTGTTTGTTTCAATCTTTAGTGAATTTATACAGCTGAAAGCCTTAGTTTCATGTTATATTCTGAAAGTAAGAATCTAAAAGTAAGTTGTAAAAGAAGGAAGCATATTTAATTGAGATTGACTTATCCTAATCTCTAAAGAACACAGGATCCATTTTTATTTATTTCTGTACCAGACAAATGTGGGACATGAATTCCTGAACAAATGGAAACTCTGCTAAGTTCTTTTATCTCATTTAACATTTGAAATACCAAAAAAAATCTCGATTTCTTCTAGCATGGATGTAGCTATATAAGCAAAGCTGCACTTTGTACCAATATAGACACCCACCAAGCAAACTTTCTATACTGTCAAAAGCGCAGTTTTTCTGGTGTTTTTCCATTTACAGTAGCAGCTTCTGTTAGCATAGCTAGGTTGAACAGGGATCATGTTTCTTTACATTCTTAACTGGTGTTGGCTCTGGATTTAGGACCCAGATGCCTTGTTCTGTGTGGGGGAGGGTGGGCAGAACCCAACCCTCGCACCGACCACGACCTTTCCATTTGATAATAGGCAAATGTATTGATACACAGTGATAACAGAAAAGAAACAATACAGGCAATGAAGCAATTCTGTATATCTACCAATCCTAGGGCTGTCATCACAGCCAAGGAACATCTGGCCAGGATGCAGGCTTCAATCTGAAGGTTCTCTCTTAGGTGTCAGATGTCAGCAGCCTGGATGTGGCATGCCGAGGCTGCCTCCCCCTCCCCTCCAAGTGGAGTAGACGAAATGGAGGTGTGCTGTCTGTCCATAGTGGCCTCGGGGACCCCTCTCAGGGGATGGGGGCAGAAAACCCTCTTAGGGACCCTTTCATGGAGGAGGACAGGGGGGAGGATGCTTTGTTACGCTTTTGTATTCTCATTCCCTCCTGATGACTCTCCATCCATGGCTATCATGAGAGACTGATTGGTCTCTCTGTGGTATTCATACTGTCCGTGCTGTGTTTCATTGGTACATTCCAAGCTCATCACATGCACACCCTTCCCAAAACAGGAATTTCAGGCCTCCTTTGGCCTTGTAAGCTGGTGCCACCTTATCTCATGTTATGGAATAATGTGGTACATGCATTCTAATGCTTATATATATCTGTGTAGATATATAGAGAGATATATGTGAGCATTAGAATGGTTCAGGATGGGCAACAGCGGTTAACTGATTTCTAAAAGCCTGAGTCTCTCTCACACAGTATTCTCAGCCTTCAGAGGCAGATGGGCTGTCTAACAAACAAGGACACATAGTCTTAGAAACTGGGGGCATGTACCACATTATTCCAGTGCTGGTAGAAGGCTGTAGGATAGATAAGCATGAAAATCCATCGGAGACTTTAATGGTTTATACACTGTTACAAGTGAAATTGAACAGCCTCATTTACATTTGTGCAATCGTGATAGAAGTGATTCTGTTTTTTTCTTGTGACTCCCAGAGAAGGCCTCGGGGGAAGGCTTAAGGCCCTATAAGAGAGCCTCTAGGTCAGGGGTCACTGTGCTGTGAGAGACCCAGGTCTGTTCTAGCTTTGTAGCAGCCCCAGCAATTAGGGAATGGACTCAGAATGAGGGCAAGCCTGAGGAGGAAGTGATGAAAGTGGAGGCCATGGCCAGGACGTTCTTCTGGCTGAATGGTTTTGCACTCTGCTAATGGCTTGTAAGCTCTAGCAGCACACTGTAGAAATGGCTCAATACAGAGAAACCTTCAGGCCTATGTTAGTTTGTGTGGAGGGCATATTCACTTGCTGTCTGTCCTGACCCAAGTGCAGAGAGAAATCTGGCACACTTTACACTCATTTAAACATTTGCTACCATGGGGCGCATCCCCACAAGCACACAGCACATGTGCACATATTCACTGCACTGCTGATTTGTAGCAGGGAGGGGTTTTTTGACACCAGGAGATCCCAATGTCAAAAAAAACCCCACCACTAAACAAGGTGCGATACATGCAGCAGCAGCATTAACTAGCAGAAACAGAGCCTGGCTGTCCAGAGCCATGCTCTGGCTGCTGGCCAGGCTCTGAGCACCCAGATCACCACCACTGCTGCCCTAGGAGGCCCCCGGGACTCCAGGTGAAGCTGCTGGGGCCAGCCCAGGTGCTGGCCTCAGCCTTCTCTACCCCATCTGGGTCAATTTGCCCCACACCAACTCCATGTGCAGGGGCGTGCATAGCAACAAAAAGCAATGGCACAAATTTGTGCCACTTATTTTTACTGCAGCAACTGCAGGCCTCTACACATGGGGACACACCCATGTTATCTACCATGGGCTTGCAGGAATATAAATACAAGCAGAATGTCTGTACCCTTGAAATGTCTTTAGGTTACTGTACTGTAGGAAAATAAATTCTCCAGGGTGGTTAGGAATAATAATTAGCCAAGGAAAAAATGTTTAGTCAATAGAGATTATTTGCTCCTTGTGTTTATTCCAAATATGTAGTTATTCTCAACCAGGTTACCACAGCACCCCAAGTGCCTTGATATACTAACAAGTGTGCTGCGAGTTGCCAAGCACTACCAGGGGTGTAAACTTGATTCACAAAAACCTAGAGGGTGTTTATACATGTGCTGTGGAAGTGGGAAAGGGGGCACTTTAATTAGAGCAGGTCCAAGAGCTACTCTAATGAAAGCCCCCAGAGTCTCTTGTGTGTAAGTGTCCCCACACTTAAAAATGGTGGCAGGGTCACTTTAACTAAAACTTGTTTGATGAGCTTTATTTAAAGTGTCCCCACTGCCATTTTTAAGCACAAGGATGATGCTACATAAGACGCTGGAGTCTGCTGGAGCGCGGTAATTACTGTGCTCCAGCAGACTCGATTAACTGAGCCTGCTCTGATGCTCTGTAATGACAGTGCATTGGAGCAGCCTTGCTGCTCATGTATAGGTGCCCAGAGGTTTCAAATAGGCATTCATAATGTTAAAAACATTCTGACCTGCTGTGGTCTTTCTAAGTTCTTTGCTCTATTTTTTTTATAGGCTTAAAAACAAGAGAAAACTAAATGCTGCATTTTTTGAGGGGTGAGTTGGGTTTATTGAAGGACACTGCTGGCGTGTCCAGCCGAGTGCGCATGTGCCTCTTGCAACATTTCAAAGGAGTTTGAGACGCCACAAGATGCATGCCGGGGACAAAAAGCATTCCCTGCGCTGCATATTTGCAGCGTGGGCTCAAAATTTTGGTACCTGGAAATCCAGGTTTCAAAATAAAACATGGGTGAAAAAAGCAGGGCAGAGCATGGTCCCAGACCACATCCTGAGGCAATCCAGGAGTCAGTCCTCCAAGAGAGATGCTTGGGTTTCTGGCCACAGTGTCTCTGTGGTGCTTCTGCTGCCCCAGATGCTGTCACAGGTAAGTTAGGGACATGGGATGGGGGGTTTATAGGGGTGGGTGGATGTCAGGGGGTATGGGGAGTGGTGGGGGATGTTGGGGG